GCCCTGCGGCGCCGGCTGCGGAGCTTCGTGCTGCCCACGGCCGCCTGCCAGGAGGACGAGGACATCTTCCCCTACAAGATCCTCTTCCAAGACCTTGACCGCAACGGGGACGGGGTGGTGGACATCACGGAGCTCCGCGAAGGGCTGAAAAACTGGAGCTCCACGTTTGGCCTGCAGTCGGAGAAGGTGCTTGACCCAGGGGACGTGGTTCCGGGCCCTGGAGGGACGTTGAGTAGAGGGGGAGGCCAGACCTCCTTCCTGGAGCTGCTTTCGGAGAGAGGCCCGTGTGTGAGGGGGGACTTCTCGCCCGGGAGCCCCTCCCGCACAGTAACGCAGCGAACCGTCTCCACCTCCTGAGACAGGCCCTGCCCGCAGGGCCCAGGCCTTCTCCTGGGCACGTTGGGGAAAGCCCGGTGGGTTTCCGGTGGCCCAGTCACCATGTACTGAACCCGCACAGGATTTCAGGAGCTGCGTTAGCCTCTGGGAATGCAGAGTTTTATAAAAGACCTCTTAGATTAGGCCCCTAATCCAAGTGCTGGCGAACCTATGACAGGCGTGTCAGAGGTGACACGCGAACTCATTTTTTTGGTTGATTTTTCTTTGTTAAATGGCATTTAAATATATAAAATAAATATCAAAAATATAAGTCTTTGTTTTACTCTGGTTGCAAATATCAAAAAATTTCTATACGTGACACGGCACCAGAGTTAAGTTAGGGTTTTTCAAAATGCTAACTTAGGGCGTTTGCAGGACAGGCCCAGATGGGGCCCCAGAGCTGCTGTGTGTCTCTGACATCCACAGGGTTTGGGGCGGGTCAGACCCTCATCCGTGGGTTGACAGTACTCGAGCTGATGGTTTAGCACGTTGCCCTAGTTAGGGGTGTCTTCCTTCTCTGGACGGGTCTTTGACTTGATTATTTAAGAATTGTTCAGATGGAAGTGACAGCATATCAAGAGAAAACAATTGTTCTATTTCTCCTCTCTCAATGCTACACAGTCTTCAGGTACCACCCCACTTGTTTCCCCCGTGAGATGTGTGTGCCTGGTATGAAGTCCAAACGTTACTGTGGTTCAGGAAATTCCTTAAGAGTTCTGTGCTCCAAAAACTCCTCTGAATTAACTTTTCTCATTGTCTCGTACTTATATCCTCTCACTCAGCTTAGTCCCTTCAGATTAATGGCTTAATCATTAATATGTTATCTCTAGCATTTAAAAAATATGTTTTTTATTGATTTTAGAGAGAGGAAGGGAGAGGGAGAAACATGGATGAGAGAAAAACATCAATTGGTTGCCTCCTGTACGCCCCCTACTGGGGGTTGAGCCAGCAACCCAGGCATGTACCCTGACCAGGAATCGAACCTGGTGACCTCTTGGTCCATGGGTTGATGCTCAACCACTGAACAACACCGGCCAGGCTAGAATTGCACATATTTTATCTCATTTAATTAATAGAGTGGGAGTCTCTGATGGCAAGAACTATGTATCTTGGTATCTTTATTTTTAAAAAATATATTTTATTTTTTACAGAGAGGAAGGGAGAGGGATAGAGAGTTAGAAATATCGATGAGAGAGAAACATCGATCAGTTGCCTCCTGCACACCCTCTACTGGGGATGTGCCCGCAACCAAGGTACATGCCCTTGACCAGAATCGAACCTGGGACCCTTCAGTCCACAGGCCAACGCTCTATCCACTGAGCCAAACCGGTTAGGGCTATCTTGGTATCTTTATTCTTTCAAAGTATTTGGCATTCATTGATCACCGCAGGTAAATTCTTCTAAGATCCATAATTATTTGAAATGACATGTGGCTATTGACTCTAGTATTGCACAATTTATATATATATATATTACTTAGCCTTGTATCTGTGACTGAAAAAGTAGGCCAATGGCTGTGGATGGACATCATAATTAGCATGAGTGAAATTATTAATTGCCAATGTGGAAATGATACAGGGGCTTCACTTGCAATGTGTTTCTGCAATGGTTTCTTCTTTCTTGCAGGACATTTTTAAAGCTGGAGATACCAATGCTGATTCAGGATTGGACTTCCAAGAATTTTTGCAATACCTTAAAGACCATGAGAAAAAAATGAGGCTGGCATTTAAGAGTCTGGACTTAAATAATGATGGTGTGTATGTGTGTGTTTTATTCACAATTAGCTTAGCATGAGTAGCAGTACCAAAGGATATGTTTACTAGCCTTTAATTAACTCCTGCTATCAAAGATTCAATTTTGTTACGTGTTTAGCAGTATTTTTTTAATTTCTAGAAATAATATATAAACTGTATTTATTGTTACAATTTCTGTGTGGTTACCATCTTTTCTTAAAAATTAATTAACTAATTAATTAATTTTGGTTACCATCTTTTAATAAAATAGTTTTTGCCCTCTGCTATGCTACTTGGCTGAGTGGGTAGGTCTCACCACTCATTTGCAGTATATGTCATGGTAGTTTAAAAAAATGTCATTTATTGTTTTCTTGTTTATTTTGAAAATATTTCAGTTGCAGGAAAGTTAGATAACACAGAAAACCTCCTGAAAGAAAGTAAAAGTTACTTGTAACGCTGCTGGCTAGAGATCAGATTTAGCATTTTAATTTATTTTTATATTTCCTTTTAGACTTTTTTGTCTGTTTTTCCCCCCCTTGGTTTCTTTTCTCTCTCTGTAGATGCAATTGCAGTCACACTGTGTGTGTAGTTTGGTATCCTGCTTTTTAAAAAAATATTTTTATATTTATTGATTTCAGAGAAGAAGGGAGAGGAAGAGAGAGATAGAAACATCAATGATGAGAGAGAATCATTGATTGGCTGCCTCCTGCATGCCCCACACTGGGGATTGAACCCTCAACCTGGGGATGTGCCCTGACTGGGAATCGAACCGTGACCTCTTGGTTCATAGGTCAGTGCTCAACCACTGAGCCACACTGGCTGGGCTTGCTTTTTTCTTTTAATGTTATCATGTAAGCATTTCTGCTTCATTTAATATTCTTCACAAACATATTTTTTAACATATTTTTATTGATTTTAGAGAGGGAGAGGGAGTGAGAGATGGAAACATCAATGATGAGATAGAATCATTGATGGGCTGCCTCCTGCATGATTTGGGATCAAGCTTGCAACCTGTGCATGTCCCCAGACCGGGAATGGAACCTTAACCTCCTGATTCATAAGTCGGGCGACAAACATTTTTTAATGACTCTAAAATATTCCATTTGTGAGTAAACTTATCTAATCATTCCCATATTGCTAGATATTTAGGATGTTTCCAGCTTTTTGTTCTTATACATAGTGCTGTGAGCAGTATCCATGCTGACTTGTTCTTTGTTACAAATCCTTAACTCAGAGAGACTGAATGTAGAGTAGAACACTTCTGCATCCATATGTGGCTGACCCACCATGGGTAATCAGAACCTACTTATAATCTATATAAGAAACATATGTTATGTTAATTTTTAACTTTTGTGAAATCTAATTTTTTTAAAAAAATATATTTTATTGATTTTTTACAGAGAGGAAGGGAGAGGGATAGAGAGTTAGAAACATCAATGATCAGCTGCCTCCTGCACACTCCCTACTGGGGATGTGCCCGCAACCAAGGTACATGCCCTTGACCGGAATCGAACCTGGGACCCTTGAGTCTGCAGGCTGACGCTCTATCCACTGATTTTTAAATTTTGTGAAATCTAACTTTTGTTAATTAAAAAATTGTAAGCGTACCAGGAAAGTGATGTAAAGCAGCGGTCGCCAACTGGTGGTCTGCGGCCCACTGGTGGTCCTTGAGGTCCGAAAGGTTGGCGACCACTGGTTTAAAGGTTTCCACTGATGGATTCTTGGGTCAAAGAAAATATAACCTGAATATCAGAGGCTTTATGACCTGAGCACAAAAGTGGTTCCATTACCCTTAATCCCCAAAGCGCAGTGCTTCAAGCTCCCGGGCACTTCCCAGAAGGAGGTGTAGGCCTTTCTGGATGGTCATACTGAGGTAGCACCCAGAGGCACGTCTTGAAATGAGACTGGGCTGTCATTTGCTGCCACTCTAGGACTGAATGTTCTGCTCTTGTGCTGCTCTGAAATTTCACCATCTTGTTGATGAATCCGTCTTGTCAGATACATCAGGGAAATTAGAATGCCATTGGTAAAAATATTACGCGACTATTGTCCCTGGTGAAGTTGCACACCAGTGCTTGTAGTTACTGGTAATAATAGAGAATAGTCTTTCTGAGGCAGGACGGAAATCCCAAAGTAATATAGTGATTAGCAACATAGATCTTTTCATTTCTGCCTTGACTAGCCAAACTGGGACATCACAGTCCCCAAAGTCTGGCCAAGGTCCACTCTGGCGGAGCAGGCGTCTCACTGGTTTCATTTTGTTTGAGCCCCTGAGCTGCGTCGTAGGTAGGAAGCCCCGCTGTTGCCACCAGGGCTGCTGCCCACCTGGACCTGTGGCTCCGGCTCTGGCAGCCCTGCAGGGCCCTCTGACTGAGCACCTGCTCTCGGCATCCTCATTGCTGCCGCCTCAGTGGCCACTTTTGTGTAGCGCTTTCCTTATCCCAGTGGTCGGCAAACTCATTAGTCAACAGAGCCAAATATCAACAGTACTTCTTCAAAATAGACTCACCCAGGCCGAAAACCGACTTCTGTGCATGGGCCACGAAGTTTCAATCGCACTGTGCATGCGCGCCTGCACATGGTATTTTGTGGAAGAGCCACACTCAAGGGGCCAAAGAGCTGCATGTGGCTCGCGAGGCACAAGCCGCAGTTTGCCGACCACCACTGCCTTAAATGTTGAGTGGCTTTATTTTCATGCCTCCGAATCAGAGCTTCAGAATTAGCTTTTTAATTCTTTCCAGCTAGGTACAATAATCAAGATCTGTCTTAGATCTACAAACTTTGTATGGCAGCCCTTGGGGCCAGATGTGTTTAGAAATTTAGAATTTTGCTTTTAGAAAATGGGTACTGTGCATATATGTTGTTATTTAATAATTAAAGTAGGGTCTGGGGCACCACTGTGCAACTATACAGTTGACCTTTAACAACTGGGGCTTTAGGGTCACTGACCACCATACTGTAAAAAATCTGAGTACAACTTTTGAGTCCCTAAAAAGATAATGCTAGCCAGCCCTTCACATCCAAGGATTCAACCAACTGTGTATTGAAAACAATATTTAAAAAATATATGTTTATTTTTTTTCAGAGAGAAAGGGAGAGGGAGTTAGAGATAGAAACATCAATGATGAGAGAGAATCATGGATCAGCTGCCTCCTGTACACCCCTTACTGGAGATCGAGCTTGCAACCTGGACATATGCCCTTGGCTGGAATCGAACCCAGGACCCTTCAGCTGCAGGCCGACACTTTATCCACTGAGCCAAACCAGCTAGGGCGAAAACAGTATTTTTGATTTGTAGTTATAAAACCATGGCTGGGAATTCGAAAATACTGTTTTTGATAAGAGGTTGGTTGAACCCTCAGAGGTTGGTTGAACTCGGGGACGCAAAACCTGTGGATGCGAATCCCCTATTGTATTTATTGAAAAGAATCCGTGTAAAAGTAGACCCGTACAGTTCAAACATGTATTGTTCAAATGTCAACTGTACATGAATATTCCATCAATGAAACAAATGCATAACCCTGAATTAGATAAATAATTGATTAAAATTAACTTCACATCAGTTTGAGACATGTTTTGCCAACAAATATTTTAGTGCCACATTTACAAAACATTTTTTATTTTTAAAAATTCTGGAATGTAAAGCCCTTTTTAATTAAAGTATAGTTGATAAAGTTTCTTACTTTTAGAGCATTTTAGTCTTTGGGCTGTGAATATGGGATGGACGGCCTATAAAAGACATGGGCTTTTTAAGACTATTGTGTTCTAAGTATATTTTTGCCTTGTTATCTTCTGAGAGACTTTAATGACATTTTTTTCACTTTTTAAAGGAGTAATAGAAACTTCAGAAATAATCACTGCTTTGAAGTCACTGGGTGTAGATATTTCTGAAGCTCAGGCAAAAAATATTCTCCAAAGGTCAGCCCTTCTTATTTTTAATAGTTTTCATTTTTGTTTAATATTCTAAGTTAGAAACTAATTTCTATAAATATAGCCCATTCTTCCCTTCCATCCCTCCCTTCCTTTATTTCAACATTGCTCACCTTCAGGATTTCCATTAAGCTCACAACCCTCCAGTAACTACGTTTGTTAGTCGGATGGAGTTGTATAACTTAGCACTTGGCCGTACATATGTTGTGTTCAGTTTTGTAATTGTTCATAGTGAGAGGATACATTCTACACCCATTATTTTGTCTTGGCTGGGACTGGACATCATACGGATCTTTTTGTTGGCAGATGGAATTTGCTTTTTAGAATTTCCATTGAGAAAAATGCAATTGAAAAAGCATTTCACTTAATTCCACCTTTAACTTAGACTTCAAAGAAACAATAGCTGTTGTGTTTTTTGATTTTGAGATGCTTAAAAGTCGAGTAAACCCTGAATTTTTCATGGTAAAAAGTGAGTCTTCTCTTTAAATTAATAAGTAAAAGGTTATTTTAAAGTTGATTTAAAAGCTATAAGTAGGGAAAAGAGGGTCAGAGGAAAAATATTATTAGAAGATTCATAAGGTTCATCATCAGTTTTATTCATTTATTCATTCATTCAACTAACATTTACTGAGTGCTCAGTGCTAGCAATATAAAGGTGACTTTAAATAGCCTTCCCTTTAAAAGAGCAAGGCATGTGTGAGAGAAATACAAGTAAATAGTTAAAATTCCATCAGCGGGGCATTCCACAAAATATCTGATCAATACTTTTCAAAACTGTCAATGTTACCAAAAACAAGGAAAGTTTGAGAAACTGACACAGCCAAGAGGAGCCTAAGGTGACATGACGATTACCTCATAATCCTAAAACAAAAGAGGAACATTAGTTAGGAACAAGGAACTCTGAGGATAGTGTGAACTTCAGTTAATGATGTATTAATATTGGTTCATTAATTGTAACATGTACCATAATAATGAAAGATGATACCATTAGAGGAAAAGGGGTGTAACTCTGTATTATATTCCCAATTAAAAAAAAAATCCTCACCCAAGGATATGTTTTTACTGATTTTTAGAGAGAGAGGAAGGGAGGGAGGTAGGGAGAGAGAGAGACATTGATCAGTTGCTTTCTGTATGTGCCCTGACTGGGGATCAAACCCCCAACCTAGGTATGTGCCCTCCTTGATCAGTTGCTTTCTGTATGTGCCCCGACTGGGGATCAAACCCCCAACCTAGGTATGTGCCCTGACTGGGAATTAAACCTGCAACCTTTTGGTGTACAGGACAACGCTCAACCAACTGACCCACCCAGCCAGGGCTATATTCTCAATTTTTCTAAAAAATAAAGTCCATTAAAATATGAAAGTACAGCAATGTTCATGAAGTCCAAAGGAATGGCTTCTATCATAAATATGTAAGAAGCATTTAATTAATTTTTATCATGGTGCTATCTTTGTTATAAATGTTGTAAGCACTATTTGTTTTTTAAATTCCAGCATGGACAGTGATGGAACAATGACAGTAGACTGGGATGAATGGAAGTACTACTTTTTACTTCATCCCGCAAAAAGTATCGATGAAATTGCTGGCTTCTGGAAGCGTTCTACTGTAAGATTAGTTTGTATTTTTTATCAGTCGTAAGTGTCATAGCTGTTATTATGGTCACATAATCCCTATAATACTTTCAGCCTCAGTGGCTAAAGAAACAGTAGTCTCTCCTCATAGTGTTATCTCTAATTCCCCACCCACAAAAAATGCTTTTCTCTTATGCATCCTAAAGAATGTTACCTGAGTTTCTGAGTCAGAAGGAATATGCATTTGTAAAATTGTTAGGGTATTCAGTCTTCATTTTCCAAAATACCATCTAGCCATGTTATTTCCCAGAATGGCTTGCTACGCCAGCTCACTCCTACCAGCAGTGCCGGAAAGTTCCTGCTTCTCTTGATATTACTGTTACTGGGAATTATCCAGTTTTCTGACATTTGCCATTTTGTTGGACATAAAGTGATATCTTGTTGGTTTAATGTGCATCTCATTGATCCCTACTGCATTTATATCTTGGTCTGTTTTTTCAAATGTATTGAGATATGATTGGTATATAACATTTGTAAGTTAAGGTGTATAACATATTTGAGACACTTCTATATTGTGAAATGATGACCACAGTAGGGTTAGCTAACACCTCCATCACCTCACATAATTACTGTTTCTACTTTACATGGGATCCCCAGAACTTAGTCATCTCAGAACTGGAAGTTCGTCCCCTTTGGCCAGCACCTCCCCGTTTCCTCCACTCCCCAGCTCCTGGCAACCACCATTCTACTCTCCACTTCTATGAATTTGGCTTTTTATTTACTTTTATTGTGGATAGGAAGTAGGGTTTACTGGTGGTTGTAAGGAGGGGGCAGCACCGAGACTCTGAGTGCAGGGCCCACCATTTGTGTAGGGGACCACGACGATGGATGTATTTGACCCCACAGCCATCTGGGATGAGCCGCTTTTCAGCCACCCTGTCTTCAAACTCATCCGAATTAAATTTAGTACAATCCCCCTTCTTGGAGATGTGGATCTTCTGGTGGCCAGGGTGCTTGAACTTGGCTCTGCGTAGGGCCCAATGACATGATCCTTGGTCTGCAGCTTGGTGCGGATGGACATGATGACATGGCCAACATGGACCCTGGCCACTGTGCCCTGGGGCTTTCCAGAGGCACCCCGCATGCCTGTCTTGTTGATGTGGATGACGTGGGAGGGGTGGAGCCGCTCATGCCTGTCTGGAGCCTGTCAGCTCCAGCACAGGACATCTTGTTGATGTGGATGACGTGGGAGGGGTGGAGCCGCACTCGGAGGTGAAGGCCATCTTTGCCAAGCTTTGCACCATGTACTTGGCACAAATGCGGGCAGCCTCCAGGGCTTCGGAGGAAGCCATCTTTGCCAAGTACATGCTTTTCACCATGTACTTGTTGGCACAAATGCGGGCAGCCTCCAGGGCTTCGGAGGAGAGCTGCTCGTATTCATCTGACACCATGTGCCACAGAGTGGGAACTTGTCCACTTTTGCCTTCTTCTGCCCCAGGTCAAAGATGCGGATCTTGGCATCAGGGACACCTCAGCACAAAGGAGACTTTGGGTACGGCTGTTCTTACAATACCGGTAACCCTGGGAGGGGCGGCGGCCCATGGCAACACCAGGATCTTCAGTGGCACGCTGAAGGGAAAGACTGTGAATCTGGCTTTTTAGATTCCACATAGAAGTAATTCCATACAGTGTTTGTCTTTCTGTGTCTGACTTATTTCACTCAGCATGATGTTCTCCAGGCCCATCCATATTATGGAAATGGCAGGACTTCCTTCTTTCTCATGACAGTACAGTGACCATTGTTTATTATTGTACATAGATGTGTGTCTATGTGGGTATGGGTGTGTATGTATGTCTTGCCAATACTTGTTGTTTCTTTTCCTTTTTTTTTTTTTTTAGGAAATAGCCATTCTAATAAGTGTGAGGTAGTAACTCATTGTGGTTTTTTAAAAAAAAAAATTTATTTATTGATTTCAGAGAGGAAGGGAGAGGGAGAGAGAGAGAGAAACATCAATGATGAGGGAGAATCATTGATCAGCTGCCTCTGGCATGCCCCATACTGGGGATCAAGCCTGCAACCTAGGCATGTGCATCAAATCATGACCTCCTGGTTCATAGGTCAATGCTCAACCACTGAACCTTGCCGGCTGGCCTCATTGTGGTTTTGATTCACATTTCCCCAGTGATTAATGATATGGAACATCTTTTCATATATATGGACATCTGTATCTCTAGTAATTTTGCCCATTTTCAGTGGATTTTTTTTGTTATTGAGTTGTATGAGTTTCTTTAATATATTTTGGATATTAACCCCTTATCAGCTATATGATTTGTAGATATTTTCTCACACTTTGTAGGTTTTCAGTTTGATGTAATCCCACATATTAATTTTTGATTTTGTTAATTATGCTTTTGGTGTCAAATCCAAAAAGTCACTGCCAAGACCAATGTCAAGGAGCTTTTTTGCTGTGTTTTCTTCTAGGAGTTTCACAGTTTAAGATCTTATGTTTAAGCCTTTACTCCATTTCGAGGTAATTCTTGTAAGTGGTGTGAGAGAGAGGTCCAGTTTCATTCTGCTGTATGTGATTATCCAATTTTCCCAGCACCATTTATTGAAGAGACTATCCTTTTCCACTGAGTATTCGTGGCTCCCTTGTCAAATATTAGTTGACTGTATCTGTGAGGGTTTATTTCTGGGCTCTCGATTGTTCCATTAATTTATGTGTCTGTTTTTATGCCGTTACTATACTGTTTTGATTATCATAGCTTTATAGTATAGTTTGAAAGCAGGAGTGTGATTCCTTCAGTTTTGTTCTGTCTGAGGACTGCTTTGTCTATTCAGGGTTTTGTGGTTCCATGTGCATTTTAGGATTTCTTTTCTATTTCTATGGAAAATATCATTGGAATTTTGATGGGGATTGTATTGAATCTATAGGTGGTTTTGGGTAGTGTGGACATTTTAACAATATCAACCCTTCCTACCCACGAGCACCATATATCTTTCTATTTATTTGTGTCTTCAATTTCTTTTATCAGTGGGCATTGATCTTATAGTAAACCTATATCTGAATGCAAATTATTTGGTCTAGTACAGTGGTTCTCAACCTTCCTAACGCTGCGACCCTTTAATACAGTTCCTCATGTTGTGGTGACCCCCAACCATAAAATTATTTTCATTGTTACTTCATAGCTGTAATTTTGCTACTGTTATGAATCGTAATGTAAATATCTGATATGCAGGATGTATTTTCATTGTTACAAATTGAACATAATTAAAGCATAGTGATTAATCACAAAAACAATATGTAATTATATATGTGTTTTCCGATGGTCTTAGGCGACCCCTGTGAAAGGGTCGTTCGACCCCCCAAAGGGGTCGTGACCCACAGGTTGAGAACCGCTGGTCTAGTACAAGTGCTAAGAACATTGTCAGTCTTCATTATCAGGAGATGAGAGATGAAAAAAAACTTGTGATTTTTGATCTTTGTAAAAAAATTATCCTCTTAATTTATCTAGTGTTTCCACTGTTCTCTATCATCTAATTCTGTTTTTACATTTTATTAGATAATTGACATAGGGGAGAGCATAGCTATTCCAGATGACTTTACTGTGGAAGAAAAGAGTTCTGGACATTGGCGGCGGCATTTGGTGGTAGGAGGAATAGCTAGCGCCGTTTCAAGAACGTGCACGGCACCTTTTGACCGCTTGAGAGTCATGATGCAGGTGATGCGCAAGTTCGGTGGCCCTTACACATTAAAGCCATTTGAAAAATCCTTGATAATTTTCAAAAGAAATGTTTTGGCACATTTCATACTAGTCATTAAAATTGTACATTTTCTGAAAATGTAAAAGGTTATCCTCTTAATTTATCAAGTGTTCACACTTTTCTCTATCATCTAGTTCTGTTTTTACATTTTTGTTTTTACATTAAAGATTTCTTAATTTCTTAAAGCTGCTTATATGCTGTTTAAATGAATTTTTATTTGAAATAATAAAATAATAGAACCACTCTATTAGATGTTTTTTTTCAGAAATGTAGCTAAATCTATCAAAGAAGTGATAAGACACCATTAGTCTAATTTATTAGTTATTTCTAGCTTCTGACACTGCCCTAATAGCATGGTTCTACTCTACTATTTAAGTACTAAGAATATTTTTAAAAATGGAAATTAAGTTACTTGGAGCAGATTACTAACTTGTACCTCTTTAGAGTTAATGTTGTCTAATTTCCTTTTCTTTTTTTACTGAGTAATGAATTGTTAACAGTAGTTATAAAATACTGTATGATTTAATCTGTTAAATAATTAAGATTTAATATTTGCTGAATATTTTCTCTGCAAGGGTATAAAAATTAATAATCCACAACCTAGTGAATTTAAATTTGTAATTAAATTTACATACTTTAGTGTTTTATTTTCTTTGGGATTTTTGGTAACATTGTGACAATTGGTATTGGATTATGAATAGGTTTTCTTTTGTTGTTTTTTGTTTTTTTTAAAATATATTTTTACTGATTTCAGTAAGGCAGGGAGAGAGAGAGAGATAGGAACATCAATGATGAGAGAGTTTTTTTAAAATATATTTTTACTGATTTCAGTAAGGAAGGGAGAGAGAGAGAGATAGAAACATCAATGATGAGAATCATTGATCTGCTGCCTCCTGCACGCCCCCTACTGGGGCTTGAGCCTGCAACCCTTGCATGTGCCCTTGACTGGAATCGAACCCAGGACCTTTCAGTCTGCAGGCTGATGCTCTATCCACTGAGCCAAACCGGCTAGGGCTCTTTTGTTGTGGTGATGCCTGATCTTATTTTCTAAGATCTTAGAAAATCTTATTTTTGACCGACTCAGATTTAGAGGGAGGAGCTGCCAAAGGGCACAGCCTCTGTCTCTTGGCGATCTGTTCCTGGTGTTTTTCTTTGTCTTCCTTCATCTCCTGGCCGGATTCTGCAGCCTCTGGACTCTGCGCTTCTTCCTTAGTTTTATTAATGTGCTGCTGGTTCAGAGCAATAGCTGATGTGTGGACAGTTGCAGTACACGTGGAGCAGCAAGGTGCTGAATCTGGGGGACTTCAGTCCTGGGTTTCACACCTTCTGTGTTTTGGGGCTTTCTGACAACAGACTGATGGACATCATCATCTTTAGAGAGGTTGGGAAGTTTGAAGATTCTGCCAGCTCTTTTGGGCCCCAGGCGATGAGGCACAGCCCTATTAGTTGGTCCAGGAAAATCTTCCTTCTCTTTTTTTTCTAGGTTCATAGTTTAGAGCCAACGAGAATGAAGTTAATTGGTGGGTTTGAGCAGATGATAAAAGAAGGAGGAATTCGTTCTCTTTGGCGAGGAAATAGTGCAAATGTTTTTAAAATTGCACCTGAGACGGTCATCAAGATCGGGGCCTATGAACAGGTAAAATGCTATCGTCTGTGGAATTTTACAACGAAGATCAGATTTAAAATTGAATGTTTAAAAAGTTCAGGCTTTCATGAGAAAAAACTGGAGTGTCAAGCAATAGATGTCAATTTAAATATAAGTGACTTTGTTCTCATTTGGTTATTTTTGTTTTTATATTGCTTTTGTTTATAAGGAATGTTTCATGGCCCTAACCAGCTTGGCTCAGTGGACAGAGCGTCGGCCTGTGGACCGAGGGTCCTAGGTTTGATTTCGGTTGCAGGCTTCTCCCCGGCCCTGGCCCTGGTCAAGGCCCATGCAGGAGGCAACCAATTGATGTGTTTCTCTCACATCGGTATTTCTCTCTGTTTTTCCCTCTCTCTTCCACTCTCTAAAAATCAATGGAAAAATATCCTCAGGTGAGGATAAAAGAAATGTTTCATAGATTATAGTATATTATCATAACTGATGTGTATTATTAGTTCTTTTCATTTCAATGTCACAGTGAAGGAAGCCCTCTAAAACATTTCGATATTGGTTTTCCTTTGAGCAATTTGAATGTTTTATTTTAAATTTGTTAATCTGATTTAAGATTTTAATTGTACTTAATCAATTAATGTTAAGATGAGCTATATTTGTTTTTAAATAGTGTAACCTATTAGCATCACATAAGAGTCTACGAGTGCTCTATGCACATCTCAAGGTTTCCATTTTCTGGGCTGGCCCGGCTCCGATCGCTTCAGAAAAGGCCCAGGGAAGAAAAGCAGAGAGATGCCTTAGCTCATGTCTCATAGATCTTACTAGAAGCTGCAAGGAGTGGGCAACACTGACCAGAATTCTGAGATTTTACAATCAGTTTTCCTAGAGCTTCAGGCTCAGAAAGCACATGGTCTACCTTCCAAATGATCACAGGAGGCAGCTCCATCAAGCATTTCCACAAAGCCCTGGACTCAGATTGCAGTATCTGTGTCCTAACAGGGCCACAAATTGTTGGTTTTAGTTATGACAGCACCCCCAGCTGGTCACCAATTTCAGTACTTGTTAGGGTTCATTCTAAGCTGTTGTATCAAAGAAATACCAAGATACGTTAGCTTAAATATGCTAGAGGCAAGTAGTCCAGGGCTAACAGTATAGCTCTGTCATCTTCAACACTCAGCTTCAAAGGTCACACCCATCTGCCATTTCCCAAGTAGAGGAAAGAGCAATCCAAAAATCTTTAAGGAGATGTTTCATAATTTGCATACTCAATTTCCCCTCATTTCTCATTGGCCAAAATAGGTCACTTAGCCACCCAACCTAGCTGCAAGGGAGACGAGGGAAATGTAGTTTACAGTTGAGTTGGCTGTTACTAAACGAAAGAAGATGATAATGAGTACTAGGAACAGACAGCAGTGTCTGCCACATGAACTGAACCCATCATACTTTCTGATGGGAAGTCACTGATTTGAGAACCAGAAAGTTAATTCTTAAGAGGATTGCATTGATGAGAGACCACTAGAAAAGGCCAACAGGAAAGCATCTTGCCTAGGATAGATAATCTGCTTGCTAAGCCTGTCTTGGATTCTAAATGAGTTTCCAGTTTCAGTCTCATGAAACTTGACTTATTTAGTTCCTGTGAAGCCTGACCTTTAGGCTGGTATTTCTGATTTTCTTATTTTTTTAAAAAAAATATATATTTTTATTGATTTCAGAGAGGAAGAGAGAGGAAGAGAGAGATAGAAACATCAATGATGAGAGAGAATCATTGATTGGCTGCCTCCTGCACACCCCCTAGTGGGGATCAAGCCTGCAACCCGGGCATGTGCCCTTGACCTGGGACCTTTCAGTCTGCTGTTCGATGCTCTATCCACTGAGCCAAACCAGCTAGGGTGCTCTCCTTATTTCCACATGTGCTATTGCAGTTGCCTCCCTGTTTCTTGAGCTAAGCAGAGTAAACTGTTGTTCCTTGTAACAAACGCAATTTACCTGGTTACTATTCCTGATTACCCAGTTACCAAAGAATATTTAGTACCTTCCACATGGAAGGTGAGAGGCTAAAAAGAGATCTGACCTTTAGGCTGGTATTTCTGTTTTATTTTTTTTAAAAATATTTTTGTTGATTTCAGAGAGGGAGAGAAAGGGAGAGACATCAGTGATGAGAGAGAATCACGGACCGGCTGCCTCCTGCATGTAAAAGATAGATTCCGTGCACCCTTTGTGTAATTTGTATGTCTTTTATGAAATAGTATGACAGTCATGAAGATGCTTAAGTGATTTAATGTTGCTGACTTACTCTTCAGAAAAAAGGGGAAAAGGTTCTTATTATCTTAGATAATTGCATAAAAATTGAAATCAAGTATTCTACTAGATGTTAATATCAGGTATCTAGAATACTTTTTCAAATAGTTTTATAGTACTAATTAATGTTATAAACTTAGAAACAATATAGAATCCATTTCAGTAATATTGTACATTTCAATACTTTTATTTATACAGTATAAGAAATGGCTTAGTTTTGATGGTGCTAAAACAGGAATTATTCAGAGATTTGTATCTGGTTCATTGGCTGGTGTAACTGCTCAGACCTGTATTTACCCCATGGAGGTATGTATTATTATAAAGTTTAATAAAGTAATACTTTCTAATTTGTTATAAATGAATTGCAGATCAAGAATTTGTATAATAAACAATTTTATACTACTGGACTTAAAGCTCATATCAAGTATCAGTTGGCCTTAGTGTATATATATATTTTGTTGTTGTTGTTATTTAGGATAAAGATAGTATTGTAAATGTACCAAGAAGATAACAGTTTTGTTGTCTGCTGTTTAATTGACTCATTCATTAATACTGCACACCCACTACGGGTGAGGTACTTTTCTAGGTCCAGAGATGAGTCAGACAGACATTTGGTCTTGGAGCTTCTTATAGTCCAGAAGGAAGACAAAACGTGCACATCAATGCTGATGGTCCAACATATAAAATACAAATTCTAGAAGAGAGAGCAATAGGAAGCGTTAATGGAAATAAGGGGAGAAATGATTTCCAGTTAGGGATTTCATGAAAGGCACAAATAGAATGTGTGAGTTTGGGTTAGAATTTGGAAATTCACAGATATTGGATAAGAAGAGAGTGCACTGCCCTGGGGAGGGCAGTACTTTCAGAATGGGGTCATTCAAAGTATAGGGTCCTGCAGAGAAGGTCATAAAACAAAGGCCTTCCATCTGACTGCTCAGAGGCGGCTCAGGCAGTCTGCCCAATCAAGGCAAAGTCAATAGTTTTTATTTTTTTATAAATCTTTATTGTTGAAAGTATTATATATGCTCCCTCACCCCACCACACCCCCATTGATCCCCTCCAGCCCGCCCCCCAGGCCTTCACCACCCTATTGTCTGTGTCCATGGGTTATGGATATATACATATAAGGTCTTTGGTTGATTACCTCCTACCCACCCAATCAAGGCAAAGTAGATCTAAAAAAAATAAATCTTGGCTGCTTTGGAGAGATTTCTCCTACTACTGTATGGATCTCCCTAAATTAAATGAATGGAAGTTAAGAGGACAAGGAGTGAGGTTCTAGCAGAAGAATTACAGGGAGCATTGGAATACTGGCAAGAGGTACCACCAGCATGAGAAAAAGAGCCAATTTCATTTAGCACTTTAAAAAAACAACCTATCTGAAGCAGTAATGAATGTGTTTCAGAATATGTTGCCTTACAGCCCAGTAAGGGGGTTTGAATGGATATATCAATTAGAGCCACAGTGATGAGTTATATTCTCCTGTTTAATTTTTTTAAAAAGCTCTATACTTTATCAGTTCATGTTTGAGTCAGTAAGGAATCAAAATTATGTTTAAGATTGCTTTCTTTTTTGATTTCTATGATAATTAGTAAACATTGTGATACAATATAGCTTTCTAGATTGCTAGGTGAGCTGAATGACTCTGGTAATATATTTTCAATATGTTCTTCCCCATTTAGGTAATAAAGACCAGACTCACTGTAGGTAAAACTGGACAGTACTCAGGGATTATTGACTGTGGCAAGAAGCTTCTGAAACAAGAAGGTGTTAGAACCTTTTTCAAAGGCTATATCCCTAACTTGCTAAGCATTATACCTTATGCAGGCACAGACCTTACTGTTTTTGAGGTGAGTTTATCCCCATAATGTGACATTATGTGTTACATTGGAAAATTTGGTACAATAACGGTTTTTATTCTAAAAATTGGTTATAAATGACTTTTCATGAAATAGCTTCTGACCTGAAAACTCTGGCTGAATGAGTTCCCTCATTTACGAAATTTTAAAAAAATATATTTTTTAAGCCGAAACCGGTTTGGCTCAGTGGATAGAGCATTGGGCTGCGGACTGAAAGGTCCCAGGTTCGATTCCGGTCAAGGGCATGTACCTGGGTTGCGGGCACATCCCCAGTAGGAGATGTGCAGGAGGCAGCTGATCGATGTTTCTCTCTCATCGATGTTTCTAACTCTCTATCTCTCTCCCTTTAAAAAATATATTTTTTAAGCCGAAACTGGTTTGGCTCAGTGGATAGAGCATTGGGCTGCGGACTGAAAGGTCCCAGGTTCGATTCCGGTCAAGGGCATGTACCTGGGTTGCGGGCACATCCCCAGTAGGAGATGTGCAGGAGGCAGCTGATCGATGTTTCTCTCTCATCGATGTTTCTAACTCTCTATCTCTCTCCCTTCCTCTCTGTAAAAAATCAATTTAAAAAATAATTACTGGAGATTTGCTCACAACCACGGTACATGCCCTTGACCAGAACCGAACCTGGGACCCCTCAGTCCGCAGGCTGACGCTCTATCCACTGAGCCAAACAAGTCAGGGCTCATTTACGAAATTTATAAAATGGAGGCAACAATACTGACTTGTCAGGTTTCTGAGGGATTAACTGAGGTAACATCTACGGAAATGCTCAATATCATTCCAGAATCAAGAAGCTACTCAGTAATGTTTCCTGCAATTGTGTGAACAATGAATTTCTTCTCCTTCAACCTGCACAGTAGTTAAAGGATGTTTCCTGATTTCTTCTCTTCCAGCTTTTGAAGAACTATTGGCTCGAACATTATGCAGGAAACTCTGTAGACCCCGGCTTAATGATTTTGCTGGGATGTAGCACGCTGTCGCACACCAGTGGTCAGATAGCCAGCTTCCCTCTGACCCTTCTTAGAACACGCATGCAGGCTCAAGGTGAGTGTGTGGGTTTTTTAATGAAGTAAGAATAAATTTAAAAAGCTAATAAAATTGCCCTAGCTGGTTTGGCTCAGTGGATAGAGTGTAGGTCTGCAGACTGACGGGTCCCAGGTTTGATTCTGGTCCAGGCACATACCTAGGTTGCAGTTTGATCCCTGGCCCTGGTTGGGGTGAGTGCAGGAGGCAGCCAATCAATGTCTTTCTTTCATTGATGTTTCTCTTTCTCTGTCTCTCCCCCTCCCTTCCACTCTCTCTAAAAATCAATGGAAAAATATCCTCAGGTGAGGATTAACAGCAACAAAAAGCAAATTTTAAAAAGCTAATGAAATAAAGAAGTAATAAAATCGTTATTAATTCCATGAATTAAAAATAAAAAAACAGTTAAAACAAGTTGTTTTAAATGAGTAGAAATTGATTTCAAAATCAGAAAAACTGTAGAATTGCTGAATAAAAAGCTAACTTTCTGATTGTTAAAGCATGATCTTGAATTAGTCGTAGAACCTTTTGTGGAGCTTATATTTTCTTTCCTCTACAGAGTTCTACTTGGAACTCTGCACATGTTTCTGTTCCCAATGGTTGTTTTCCAGAGCTTACAGTTAGGAAGCGCCAAGCAGAGCAATAGGACAGGTTTTACTGTCCTCAGATTGAGTCAGCAGTAGCTCAGGATGAACTTGGAATTCCTTTGCCACATTCTGCAGCGGGAACTTAATACATTTGTGCAGTTGAACACGCTGTTTTGTTCTCTTTGGCGAGGAGACGTGAAACAGAAGGGAGGGCATCTGCTTGTTCCTCTTAGGTGTAAAGTCAGAAATTTAGGTTTTAAGAAAATACCCTTCAAGTTGGAAAAAAAAAAAAAGCTCTCACATAATCCTATTAGTATCTTCCTGAGTAAATTCCTTAAGGCAGCGGTTCTCAACCTGTGGGTCGCGACCCCTTTGGCGGTCAAACGACCCTTTCACAGGGGTTGCCTAAGACCATCCTGCATATCAGATATTTACATTACGATTCATAACAGTAGAACAATTACAGTTATGAAGTAGCAACGAAAATAATTTTATGGTTGGGTCACAACATGAGGAACTGTATTTAAAGAGCCAGAAGGTTGAGAACCACTGTAAGATTTTATGGTTGGGTCACAACATAAGGAACTGTATTTAAAGGGCCAGAAGGTTGAGAACCACTGCCTTAAGGAGTCATGTGGTAAGCAATATTCTCTTACATTCTTTCCCCCCCTTCTTTTTAGGAAGATTTTGGGGTTTAATTTACGTGGCATTCCGGGTGGGGAATCTCTCCATCCATTCCATCACCTGCCCATCCCCCAGCAGACTATTGAGGTCACACTCCATTCCCAGTGCTCCTGTGAGGTCCTCATTGAAGACTTTCAATGCTGTGCAGGAGAGCTCCTGCAGGATGGGAAGCTTTCATGTCTGCTGTGTAGCCTTGCACATGGCTGTCGGGCACTGGAAGTGTCGTGCAACTGCGAAACTAAACTTTTAGTTTTACTTCATTTTAATTAATTTAGATTCAGATAGCCACATGTGTCTAGTGACTATGGTATTGGACCACAGGGGACTATTCTATAGGTAGGGAGTGAGGTGTACTCTGAAATAATTTCATTCCCTGTAAATTCTTGTTAATCATTGTACTGTCTGAATATATGAAGATTAAATATTGAATTACACTGATTTTTTTTCAATTTATAGCACAGAAGGAAAAAACAACAACTATGATTCATCTCATTCAAGATATATATTACAAAGAAGGAAAAATGGGCTTTTTCAGGGGCCTCACTCCAAATATCATAAAAGTGCTGCCTGCAATATTCATAAGCTGTGTGGCCTATGAAATACTGAAAGGACCGTTTGGATTAACGAAGAAGTAAAATGTGAAATTATTGTCATTACTGTAATCACTTAATTGTAAGATAATACCTGGGTTATAAAGAGAAATTCATCTCTTCCTAAAAGGAAAGAAAGTATCAAATAATTGTTAAAACATTTTCTCTTTATGTTTTCTAGTATAAAACCTATAAATGAAATAATCATTTTGGTAAAGTGGACCCAATTATTGCATCAGAGGTCAAAGTCCCATGCTGTCTTTTTTTAAAAAATTATAATGTATTAAGTGCCTGCTATGTGCCAGGTATTATTTCAAGGCACTTTAAAAGGTCCTCCTCTTGCTTAATTCTAACAACCATACTAGAAGATTGAGAGAGAGGAAGGGAGAGGGAGAGAGAGAAACATTGATATTAGAGAAACATCCATCAGCTGCCTCCTGCACGCCCCCTACTGGGCATGTGCCCTGACCAGGAATCGGGCAACCTTTTAGTGCCCAGGGTGACGCCCAACCAACTGAGCCACTCGGCCAGGGTTATCCCAATTTTCAGTTGAGGAACTAAGTTTAGAGAGGTCAGTACTTTGGAAAGATCTTTTAACATTCTCTCCCTCATTAAGGATTGCACTCAGCCCTCACTCTCAGGCCCTCTGTTTCGCATGAAGGTCTATTGTTTGCTATAACCTTGGTAATGGCTTGGATATTTTGTAAAATATCTTAAAGTGATGATTTAGCCCATTGTCCTTAGGGTACAGCCTCTCAGTTCTCTTAGATTGAGTCTCTAATACCACTTTCCAGTAAAGGCACCAGGATTCCTTAGTAGAAATAACCAATTGTAGGACTTGGGAAGGAAACATACATGAGGAGTCTGAGGACACATACGCACACATTGATGGGGACATAGCAACTGAAAGCTTCCAGTCACCAACACTGGACCAATTGGAGCAACACATTAATGAAATAGAATTGGATTATAACCCGACATATAAAATAAATATTTAGGAGTCCATACTGATGTAGATGAATGATTGAATAAATAAATAAAGAAATGGGGAGAATAGACAAGTCTGTGGAAAAATTCCAGATAATTGATGTAGATCCCTCACTCCCAGCTCCACACACATTAGTGTGGCCATGTGCAGTGACTTCCAAAGAGTACAATATGGAAACGGGAAAAGAATGCCTTTATTGGACAAGTGTGACAAACATCACCACATCCAAGGAATCAAAGTCGACATCACCTAAGTTGTAGCAATAGTATGTGCTATTGATCTGTGATGAAAATGGCACTTTACCTCTGTGTCTTTCTTCTAAACCCCGTAATCATAAAAAAATATCAAAGAAATTCCAAGTGACAAAATGTCCCAGTTTACAAAATACCTGGTCAGCACTCCAAGGTCATCAAACACCAGGGGAATCTGAGAAACTGTCACAGCTACGCCAGAAGGAGGGTAAGGAGGCGTGATGACGAAATGTAATGTGGTGTCATGGGTGGGATCCTGGCGAAGAAAAAGGGCAGTAGGTGAAAAACTAAGGAGAATGGAATAAAGTATGGACTTCAGTTAATAATATCAACATTGGCTCTTTAATTGTGACAGATGGACCATACTAATTTAAGATGTTAAGAAGAAGGGGAAAGTGGGCGTGGGGGCCTGGGAATTCTCTGTTATTTTCACAGATTTCTTGTAAATTGAAACTGAAGTTAAATTTTAATTTAAAAATAATTATGAAAATGCCTCCAACAATGATTATTTCCAAGTTGCTCTCTAGGAGATGGCATTATGCTCATTGAGAACCTACATAGTTAGTCCTGCACTTTAAGCTCTGAAGTCTTCCCTCTCCTGGCTCACCTAGAAAAATTGAAGGTAAGGAGGAATGCATACATTTTTTTTTAAAGGAATAGATAGTTAAGGACATTGTTTCACTTGCCATGGAGTTTGTGAACAGTATTTTCACTAGTTTGATTGGCCGCCCAATTCATAATTGTAATAATGGTGATGACATTCATTACATAATATTGATGATGGTAACATTAATAATAAACTTCAGAGCCAGGTGGGGAAAAAGTTGGGTTTCTTGTTCACTCCTGTATGGCTGAGAGTAATAAAATCAGGATGGCATTCTCAAATCTGTATTGGAAAGACAGAGAAAACTGGTATTGATATGATTTTCCTATAAGCAGTTAGCATAGCTGCTTGTATAAATTGAACTTTAAGAAAAGTGGTGTTATTCTATTAGAATACACAGTGCTGCCAGCCCCAGTAGAGTCTTTTTCTTAACGAAGGTAGTTGATCTATAGGAAAAGTCTCAGGAGGAGGGAATGAATTTTTCTTTTTGCTGTTTTTTTCCTGATTTGTTTTGAAAATTTGACAAATTACTTACAATCTGATATACTGAAACCCATGTCCATTAAACTTAATAAGGAAAATCTATCTGTGCATCTCTATCTCCTTCCAGAAAATGCTTTTCCCCTTTCCTTAACTTGGATTCACTGCTTTGGGCCCCAGAACTGTTAATTTCTCCATCAGTGAGCATCTAAATAAGTAAGATAAGTCCAGGAGCCCCTGATGAGGATTCAGAGAACTTAGTACCAGAAAGAACTTAGTTAAGAAAGGTTATCTCTGGTGCGGTATCCCACATTATGTGGTAAGTTCTGCCTTCCCTGTGCAGTGGCCTCAAGCCTGTATCTGTACCCATCTTGAGAGGGTGGGCCTGAGGCTTTCTAGAAAGCGCTGCCTACTGTCTGTCAGGGGCAGAGCCCACTCACCCAGCTGTGGAGCAAGGTAGACCCTCTTTTGGCCACTGCCCACCTGGATGGACTTGCTGTTTTCTGCAGAAGACCCCTGAGCTGCTCCATTTTTGGTTTTTGCCCCCCCTCCTCCCAGTTTTATTGATATGATTGATATAACACTGTCACTCTTAGGTGCTCCTTTAAAAAAATTGCTTTCCTATTTAATTCCTCTGCTTCTTAGGGCAGAGTTCTGATCACAAGGCTTGCATTTTTGTGAATGGAAAACAGGCCCAACCCGCTGGTGTGGCTCAGTTGGTTGAACTTCCTCCCATGCACCGAGGTTGCCTGTTCCATTGGGATCAGGGCATATGCCAGGGTTGCCGGCGGGATCCTCGGTAGGGGGCGTGCAGGAGGCAGCTGATTGGTGTCTCATCGCTCTCTCTCTCTTTCTCTCTCTCTCCTTCCGCTCTCTCTAAAATCAATAAAAAAGAAAACAGGCCCAGAGATGTGCAGTGCCTGTGGAGTGATAGGAAAAAGTCAGAGATCTGTGCGAGATAAAGACCTAGAGGAGACAAAGCCCCAAGGCCCAGTTTCCAGGCGGCCAGCCTCCCCCGGGCAGGGCGCCAGGCTCAGCCAGGAGGGAAGAGGCTCCAAGTTAAGGAACCTGCGCTCCCAACTGCCCCCACTCCCCACCCGTATTAGTTGGCTCTGAGGTCCGCGACTTTGGGGGACTTGATCCTCGTTCCTCGCACCCGCGCCTCTGGCGGCTGGGACCCGGCCCGGCCGTCTCCTCGGGTCCCACAGCCTCTGGAGACCCAGCGGCCCTGCCCCTTCCTGCCCGCCC